ACAAATGGGGCGAAACAGAATCAAAAACACTGTTTAAACACCTTCCGTTCCACCCCAACGCCCCCCCCAGGACTCTTGACCAACATAACAGCACAATACATATGCTAACAAACTTAAACAAAGCCTTTGTTTAAGTTTGTTAGCATATGCATTGTGCTGTTAAAGCCATTTAAAGGATGAATGCCCTCCCTAGCCGCGTTCTTCTCCTTTAAGGAGCAGAGCACACACCCAACTCCTCTCTGGGGGAGGCTAGCCCCAACTCTTTCCGGTACCCTGTACCCACTAAAAATCTCTTGGCGGTACTGCGTACTGGAGGGTACCACCCTACATGCACTCCTGCCTCTGCTTGTCCCATAGGGGCAAGGGCACTGCAGTCTAGTCTCATTTGGGGATCCACGAAGCCCTATCCAATACATGCCAGCATTAGTTCTGTATGAACAGAAAATGCAGCTGCTGAGATTCTTTGGGTTGCTGCATTATTTCACTGTAGTCCAAGAAATTTAAATTTCACGCATCTTAGTATATTACACAAAAACATCTTGCTAGGATGGGAGGAAAGACAACAAAGGCTATAGACAACAAAACAAAATTCAGCAAAGACAAATGTAAGGTGTTACACTTAGGGAAGAAGAAACAAATGCACAAATACATATTGGGGGATAACTGGCTGCTGAAAAGGGTCTAGGAATTGTGGTGGATCACAACCTCAACATGACAGGTTTCAGAGGAACAGCCGTGTTAGTCTGTATTCGCAAAAAGAAAAGGAGTACTTGTGGCACCTTAGAGACTAACCAATTTATTTGAGCATGAGCTTTCGTGAGCCACAGCTCACTTCATCAGATGTTTACCGTGGAAACTGCAGCAGACTTTATATACACACAGAAATCATGAAACAATACCTCCTCCCACCCCACTGTCCTGCTGGTAATAGCTTATCTAAAGTGATCAACAGGTGGGCCATTTCCAGCACAAATCCAGGTTTTCTCACCCTCCACCCCCCCACACAAATTCACTCTCCTGCTGGTGCTAGCCCATCCAAAGTGACAACTCTTTACATAATCAAGTCGGGCTATTTCCTGCATAGATCAAGGTTTTCTCACATCCCCCCCACCCCCATACACACACAAACTCACTCTCCTGCTGGTAATAGCTCATCTAAACTGACCACTCTCCAGGTTTAAATCCAAGTTAAACCAGAACATCTGGGGGGGGGGGGGTAGGAAAAAACAAGAGGAAACAGGCTACCTTGCATAATGACTTAGCCACTCCCAGTCTCTATTTAAGCCTAAATTAATAGTATCCAATTTGCAAATGAATTCCAATTCAGCAGTTTCTCGCTGGAGTCTGGATTTGAAGTTTTTTTGTTTTAAGATAGCGACCTTCATGTCTGTGATTGCGTGACCAGAGAGATTGAAGTGTTCTCCGACTGGTTTATGAATGTTATAATTCTTGACATCTGATTTGTGTCCATTTATTCTTTTACGTAGAGACTGTCCAGTTTGACCAATGTACATGGCAGAGGGGCATTGCTGGCACATGATGGCATATATCACATTGGTGGATGTGCAGGTGAATGAGCCTCTGATAGTGTGGCTGATGTTATTAGGCCCTGTGATGGTGTCCCCTGAATAGATATGTGGGCACAATTGGCAACGGGCTTTGTTGCAAGGATAAGTTCCTGGGTTAGTGGTTCTGTTGTGTGGTATGTGGTTGTTGGTGAGTATTTGCTTCAGGTTGCGGGGCTGTCTGTAGGCAAGGACTGGCCTGTCTCCCAAGACTTGTGAGAGTGTTGGGTCATCCTTTAGGATAGGTTGTAGATCCTTAATAATGCGTTGGAGGGGTTTTAGTTGGGGGCTGAAGGTGACCGCTAGTGGCGTTCTGTTATTTTCTTTGTTAGGCCTGTCCTGTAGTAGGTAACTTCTGGGAACTCTTCTGAGTCAGCAATGCGAAGGTGTTGCCAAAAAAGCAAATGCAATTTTAGGTTGCATTAACAGAGGCATAGCATGCAAGTCATGGAAGATGACAGTACCACTGTACACGTTGTTGATTAGGCCTCAGCTGGAGTACTGTGTCCAGTTTTGGTCACAAATATATAGAAAAGATGTGGAGAAACTGGAAAGGATGATCAAAAGGATGATCGTAAGGCAAACCATACGAACAAAGGCTGAAGGAACTGAGTATGTTTAGTTTGGAAAAGAGGAGTTTAAGGGGGGACATGATAGTGATCTTCAAGTACTTGAAAGACTGCCATAAAAAAGATGGAGAAAAGTTGTTCTCTCTTGCCACAAGCGGCAGGACAAGAGGCAATGGATTCAAACTACAACATAGCAGATTTAGATTAAATCTCAGGCAAAATTTCTTAACTGTAAGAACAATAAGACAATGGAACAGACTGATAAGGGAGGTCATGGAAATGCCTTCACTGGAGGCTTTCAAAAGGAGGCTGGATAGCCATCTGTCTTGGATGGTTTAGATCAGAGGTGGCCAGCTTGAGCCTGAGAAGGAGCCAGAATTTACCAATGTACATTGCCAAAGAGCCACAGTAATACGTCAGCAGCCCGCCATCTGCTCCCCCGTCCCGCTCCCAGTGCCTCCTGCCCACTGGCAGCCCCACCAATCAGCACCTCTCCTCCCTCCCTGCACCTCCCCATCAGCTGTTTTGTGGCATGTAGGAAGCTGGGGGGTAGGGGGAGAGGAGCAAAGGCATGGCAGGCTCAGGAAGGGGTGGAGTGCGGGCAGGGCCTGGGGTTGAGCAGTGAGCACCCCCTGGCACATTGGAAAGTTGGCACCTGTAGCTCCAGCCCCGGAGTTGGTGCCTATACAAGGAGCCACATATTAACTTCAGAAGAGCTGCATGTGGCTCCGGAGTTGTATTGCTCTTAGCAGTGTTGATAATGATGCTTCCTGCAGGATTTAGGGTGGCTTATTTTTAGAACTCCTATTCACATGAGTGTTGTACATGCAGCCCAAGAAGTGAGGGCTTTGGGGACAGATTTTTAAAGGCATTTAGATGCCTAAAGGTGCAGAAAACCTAGTAGGATTTTCAGTAGTGCCCTGTCTAATGCCCTTTGATTTAAAAGGACATTTGGTGCCTAGACTCAGCTCCTCAAAACTATTTAGGCATCTAACTGTCATTGAAAGCAGTGGAAGTGAGGTGCCTATCCTCACTTTTGAAAATCCCATGAGTTGCCTATATGCATCTTTAGGCACCTAAATGCCTTTAACAGTCTGGCCCTTTATGCCCTATTCCTGTTGAAGTCACACTGGAATGCTTCACTGTAAGCAAACCCACAGCTCTGGAGTTTAAGGAATTAGCTGTGCTGGACATGCACTTTTCACCCCAAATACTGAACTACTGTACAGTACATTTCAACAGCACACCTTGAATAGGCTTTATGATGAGAACAAATCAAAAACAGTATAACTGAAGAAAATGAACATAACAGACTTCTCTTCTGGGATCCCTGTTTCCCTGCTTTCCGATCTTGAATTTACAGGGAATATACAAGTTCCCTCAGATTACTCAGTGAAGCACCCTGTTTTCATATGGAGAGTACTATAGCTCTGATATTTAGCATAATGGCTCTCTTCTAGCTGTGAAGAATGAAACCGCTTTAAAAGTTTCCCTGAGTCAGCCACTAATGGCTTCCTTTATGTTTTGTACAGTACCAACACCCCCACCCCCCAATCATTTAGTAAATAATTACTGATCCTTTCTGAAGTTAAAAGTAAATCAAAGTGACACGGTCTCATTTTTTAAACTGATGTCCAAACAAACATGTTTCCACCTAACTTGATTATCTTATTAAGACACGTTCAGTCCAGACCTCTCACCCTGCAGCATATGTTATGGAGGAGATGTAGGGGAAAAGGCACTAAATAAACACAGCAGTCCTATGTACAGGCCAATGGAAAAATTACATAATTATCCTGAGTGGTCATTAAGTTTCCAGTATCAAAGAGCTTTTTAATCTCTCTGTTAGCTGTGACTACTTTCCACAAGTTAGGCTTCACTCTATTTTTCTCCCTAAGTATTTAATGATGTATCATTAACTGTATGTAGATGGAAGAGGAGGAAGCTAGATTATTATGAAAGTCTGTGTAATGTCCGTGCTCCACAGGAAGTGCACTAAAAGATCAAAGTACCTACCCCAAATGCTTTCTTCGGAAATTGTGACACGTCAGAAGTCTACACTTGGCTGGGGACATGCTAGTACAAAGAACATATTTAGCACAGATTCTGCGTCAAGTTGATGTTCCATATTGCAAGTGAAGCGTACCTTCTCTCTGCCTAGAGCAAAGACGACCTGTAAATCCAACTGCTTTGGAGGATTCTTTAGAAAGGAGTGCTTCTTTGTCAAGAAAGGGTCTGAACTTTTGTAACTTGCAAATTCTTAAAATATGGCAAACTTTCGCAGAGGTAAACAGTGATTTTCTCAGTCCATGTCTCTCTGCCTGTTAAAATGGATTGTATCTATTTGCATCCACATTGGCTCCATCTTCATCTCTCAAGAAATACCCCTGGTGGACTTGTCAAGATACAAATGCTATTTTGAAGCAGTGTAAAGCAAACAGTAAAAATGTACATTTTCAATTTTTTTTTTTAATTCCCAAATGTTTGGTATAGTAAGCAATAGCCTCTCTCTTGCAACAGACCAGTGGCTATTTCCATATTTAGTTATATCCAACCAATATTTTGAAGATAATTATTTTGAGTTTTTGTTTCAAAATTGATCTTTAAAGGAGATGACACGCCTGATATCACTCTCATGATAGCAAATGATCTGCAGCCAACCCTACCATTTCTTTTGAGACCCGACATGGATTCCTTCTCAAATTACAGCTATTTCCAAAATGACACAGACTACTATGAAGAGCAGTCTTTTTCTTTATTTGACATTCATATCCTGGTGCCTGTGACTATAATTTCCAGCATCTTGTTTTTCTTGGGTATTGCTGGGAATTTGCTAACACTATTAATTTTCAAAAGATACAAGGAAATGAGGACTACAGTTAACATGTATTTATCCAGCATGGCGTTGTCAGACATTCTGATTTTCCTTGGTCTGCCTTCTGATTTGTACAGGATTTGGAAATACAAACCATACATATTTGGGGACTTTCTCTGCAAATTTTTATTTTACCTCAGTGAAACCTGCACATACTGTACCATCTTGCACATCACCACTGTGAGCGTTGAGCGGTATTTTGCAATATGCTTTCCCTTGAAAGCCAAAACCACCATCACTAAATGCAGGGTGAAAAGGGTCATCCTTTCTTTATGGGCGTGGGCTCTCCTGACAGCCAGCCCAATTCTGTTCCTGTTTGGCGTGGAACACCGCAATGGAAGCCTGCCTGATGAAGCCAAGGAGTGCAATTACATAGAACACTCAGCCCGCACAGGGCTTTTAGAAACAATGACTTGGGTCTCAACCATGTATTTCTTCCTACCGGTGCTTTGCCTGACTCTGCTGTATGGACTCATCTGTGGAAAGCTTTGGCGAACCAGACACAAGCTGAGAGGACCTCAGGCCGCAAGCAGAGAAAAGTACCACAAACAAACAGTCAAAATGCTAGGTAAGGATCTGGCTTGAGACCAGGCTAAACATCTGCATTTATATAACACTAGGCCAGACAGAAATTAAAGGTAGAAAGGGGGAGGTGAGACAAAAAGAAAGGAAAGGCCCTTACAGATTTAAGGTTAGTACATTGTACTTCATTTAGTCATGTTCCTGGGTTTTACTGAGATACGGGGCCCCAATTTGAAGTGTGTGCAGGTTGGTCGTAGGAACAGTTGAGCTCATCGTTTGCTCTGGACTGATGCAAACTCAGAATAGCAGCAAAAAGAAACGTAGGATGTGGCTGAGACTTTTTTTTTATTATTTTTTTTAAGGCAAATCTGATCAACCTTGATTTGTGTGCGTCAAGAGGGGCCTGTGCTCAGCAGTCATGGTCTGACTGGTAGTTTTTCAAGCCAGCCACTCTCACGTCTCCCATGGAAAGTTTCATGTGTTTTAGCAATTAAACTTTGGGCCACAATGTGTCCAGGCCTAGTTAAACATTGGTTTTATTTCCACTTAAATCATGTTTAACATTTTAGTAGACTCATTACAGAACCCACTGGTCAGCATGTGGTGTGTTACCCTCTGTGGCTCAGGGACAGGGGCTAAGCATCTGAACCCACAGCAGCATTTACTACTTTAGTTCCGGCTGTAGTGACTCATTCTTGAAGCTCTGAAGGTCTCTGGTTCAATCCCCAGTCACAACAAGCAGTTATCACGATTTGATAAAACAAAGGATTTATTTGGGTTAACAACATTTAATGCTTCACTGAGCCTGTTCATTCATCTCAGGTGAGCAAAATAGCCGCTGCTTGTTGCTGTCAGCAAAATTCAGTGGGTGCAGATACCAACTCTCTGTGCTCACAGTGGAGGCAAAAGCACTGATGGCCCTGGCCTCAGTCTGTTCACAGATCCTCTATCATCCCCCAGTAGCTGTGAATGGCTCCAAAATTGCCTCCTTTTCCAGAGTTCAAAGTGGAATCTTGCCTCTTTTCAGCTCCCCCACTTTCTGCAGGAAACACACAGGGAAATGCAGGACCATGGATCCATGCAGTAAAATGTACTAACTTCAGAGCTGTGCATTTTCCCCTTCCATCAACTGTTATTGTCCCCAACTTTTGTTTCCCATTATTATGGCTTCTAATAATTTCTGTCCTCTTTTTCAGTGTTTTCCTTCCCCGTCTTTCCCTCTCCCCACTTCTTCCTCTGCATCTTTTTTATTGTTCCATTCATCTCCCAGATTTCTTTCACTCCTCTTTTCCATCTCCTCACCATCCCCTTCTATTTGGGCCCACCCAGACACTTTGTTCCTCTTCTGATCCCACTCACTTCCCAACTGCCGACCCTGCCCCACTCCCCTGGTAAATATTTCACTGACAAGTGAGGCAGATTTCAGGATAACAATGTAACAGTAAGAAATAATGCTGAAGTACCGATGCTGCTGTAACCTAGCCTGGTTTTGTTCTTTTGTCACTGTACTACATACATTTAAAGGGTCTTTTACCTGAACACTGCAGCAGGCAAACAAATCCCCAATGCTTATATTTACCTGCCAACATGAAGCAAAAACGGCTGCACAAGTCAGGTGGTAGCATGTTACAGTACATGCCGTATTCAGCGTAGTCGTCTGAGGTCTCAGCCACAATATAGTTTAAAGAGACAGAACAAACAGTGCTTCAAAATTACTGTACTAAAATATATTCCCTTCCTTTTCAGCAGTAGTGGTCCTGGCCTTCGTGCTGTGCTGGCTACCATTCCACATCGGCCGAATCCTCTTTTCCCAGACCAAAACCATCCTGTATGACATCACTCAGTACTTCAATCTCATCGCCATGCTTCTCTTTTACCTTGGAGCATCTATAAACCCAATACTTTACAATGTCATGTCACAAAAATACAGAAAAGCAATGAGCAGAATCCTGAACTACAGTCAAGTCTGGCAATCCAGAAACTTGACAAGGAGTGAAAGGACTTCTCTTGAAGGTACAGAAGTCAGTTCTGTCATGTAAACAGTTCAGCACTGACTTAAATATAGTGTCCTGTACAGCTAGATTACAGCCGTCCACTGTGCTTGTGAACTGTGTGTTAATACCAAGCCATGACACGTGGGCATGTTGTGAGTGAAGGGGGGATTTTAATCTCTCAGGATGGAAAAAGTTTGCTGCTTCCATCTGTGTGCACAAAATTCTCCCTTAACCATTGTCACTCCTTCTGCTTCAGGGTGATGATGTCACTAGTATTTCCTGCAACGTTTATGAAGTTTTAGCAGTGTCAGGATCAAGTCAAAACTATATGCAGAAGCCAGTAGTGACTCAACACTCTGAGTGCCAATGGCTTCAATCAATTGCCTTGCAATGTATCTCTGTGCACTTCCAACAAGCCACAAAGTGGTCATCCGCCAGTGGATTTGTCCCAAGCCCTACAAGATCACAGCTTTTGCTTATGGTTGATACAGAATCTATTCAATACCCTCATTCAAGTTCTTAGTATTTGTTTGATGTATGAAAACTAAATCAAAACAGACCAGTGGATTGAATGAAACTACCTTTGTTCTCTTCAATATATTTAATAACTGGGAAAAACTTAAAGGGAAAGAAAATATGAAGCTGTTGTGATTGTGAAAGGTGCATGTCCATTACAAAGGCTGACAAAGGGAAGCAAGAAAGTAAGCTAAAGATTGGGGAAGGGGGGAGAGAGAGAAAGTTACTTGCTCAACTTCCACAAGAAGTTTGTGACAGATAGGGATGGAACCCAAGTCTCGCACCAGTTTCTTAACCTCAAGGCCATCCTCAAGTGGGGGCTAATGAAATTATACTGTTTGGACAGCCAAATTACTGCACTTGCATTAAAGGCAAAGGACTTTGATGGGTAGAGAGAGGATGGAGTCTATTTCAAGCATCATTTTCCCTGGTGGAAATCAGGGTTATGTCAAAACAATCAAGCAATCCTGCCTTTGTTGCTCTGTCACCATTTCACGAGAAGTTGTTTGTGTTGTTGTGACACAGAGCACAACCACCTACCAGGGAAAAACAGGCCGTGTCACTTCACACACCACGGGAATTGTGCTAGATCACATCGCTCAATGCCGCTTTCCTTTTCAAAATGTTGATTTCAATGAGACCATTTTCAATCAGCACTGTCAGTCATACATGCTTCTTGTCACCTGAATAACTAGAAATGGCGTTATGAAGACTAGTACACAGTGGTTCCAAAGGATGGTCTCCATTGGCTTATAGCAAACAGAACAGCATCCCCGAGTTCACTCATTTCATTAATAGATTGTAAGGTTTACTTTTTGTCCTTCATGCATGTCCTGTAACCTTGCATAGGAAAACGGGTGGAGGGCTAATTCTTTAAGGCTGTATTCTCCACTGGATGGAACACTGAAATCAAAGCAGTGGAAATTCCATTGCAATTGGGCCAAAAATAGTTTGAGGGAAAGGAAGTGAGGCAATCTGCTATAATCCAGTCTCCCTTCCTGGACATATCGTGGCTGGGCAGAGCCAGGGAACAGCTGATCTACACGATTTCAGTGAGTTTCCTTTAGATGATTCCCTGGAGTAAACAAACCGATTGGAATTAACTACTGGAGTCCCGCTCTTTCCACTGCACTGGAAGAAGGGAGGGGAACAAATGGCAGCACAATCCCTACTAGAGCAATAGAGGAGGGCATGGTGAGCAGCACAGAAGGACTGGTCGTTGCCTATAGAACTTGCGAAATCTGTGCTGTGGGAGAACTACATCCCCTCCACAAACCTCCTCCCACATGGAAATAGCACCTTTGGAAGCACACAAGTTTCATCTTGGAACTTCCTGAGCACCTCTCTCATCTGTAGGTTTAAGATGAGATAGCCTCACTAATGCTATAAAGCAACCTAATTCCGTGTTGCTGTTTCCTTCATCCTAAACTACATACTACATGGATGGCAGGATTGTCCCAGAAGGAAGTTATTTTCTTCTTCACAAACACACAAATACATATAATCAAATTTGAAAATTTGTATTTTTATTGGCTGTATTAAATATATTATCTATTTCATAGTTACAATTTAGTAATACAATGCAGCTTTAACATAAGTTTGAAATATCTCAAAATTACAATGCAAGAAAAATGAAGATACCTAATCTGTTAATGCCACTAGGGTACATCAATCTGGAATGTATAACCGTCAATATAAAATCTACATTACACTATACTTTCCAGTATATTTCCTGGAAATATGAACATTTTGTGGCAATTCAGAAGCATTTTATTTTAATTTTCTAGGAAATCATGATTTCGGTTAATATTTATTCTGAAAGCCTACTTTATTATTTTAAAAATATATCAGAAATGCTATTGCCAAATAAATCACTAAATGATTTGCTCTGTTTGTCTAAGAGTTAAAGAAAAAAATCCCTTGGCAAAAGAAATTTGCTGAAGGCAGTCTATTGTTTTCTAAAAGTAAAATGTGAAAGGAAATGAAGGCATATTTGTAAACTTCGGCAAACTAAAGACACTAATATCTGTATAAAACTCTTTCCAACACTGAAGAGAGACTTCCATGATATAAATGATTAAGTTAAAGTTCTGCTAGAAGTAGAACAATACATTCAGACATACATTTTCCAGGATTTTTTTAATCAAAATAAATAGAGTACAAAATGAAGAGTACGTTTTCGAAAAGGTTAATTTCAGATTGCACCATAGACCTACTTTTAAGAATATTAACTGATACTATGTCATAATTTAGGATTTCCACATTTGAAATGCAACACAATGCCTCAAACTAACTTATTAACAGCCATAGGAGAAACATCCTTAAGCTGTTTTATTCTTTGAAAGAATTAGCTTGTACCCAACAGTACTATCCCACATGCAAGTGCACTGCCCCGACGTACATGAAATGTAGCTGTAGCATTTGCAAAGTATGTTCAATCTGTAACATTCTATGGCATGTTCTTTTAATGCCAAAATTATTAAGACGACCCATTCTGAAACAAATGTCTAAATTTGTGGCTTCCAGCTTGCAAAACAGCTGATGTAAAGAAAATAGCTGTCAGACTTCTCTTCAGATACCTAAAGAATATGTTTGACAAGGAACAGTCGTATGTAGTGCACAGTAACCACCAAAAATATTCCTCAAAACAGTGTCAAGACATGCATGACAAGTTTTGGAAAAGTTTCATAGCAAACTGAAAATTCTCATCACCACCACAATGGAATGTGAACTGCCACCACTGTGATAGCAATTAATTTAAAACACTGTATAAATGTTGCCTAAAAATATTTCATATATAGTTTGATAATTCAGATAAGGATAGAAGAGCATCCAAAAGCAGTCTGAACTTTTTTATTTTTAGGTTAAGAATAGTACAAAAACATTTGCTCAGTTTGAGCCAACAGTGAAACATTTACCATAAATGCACTCTCTCCCCTTAAAGACAAAATCTGTGCCTCCGCTGAAAATGCTGAAAAGATTTAATCAGACGCACAGGAAATTACTGTTCTCTCAGGCACTGAGAATGAAAATGTGGATTGGGCCAACAGTTGTTTACCAACTGCCGAAAGCATTTCATTCAGAAACATAAAGTACAAAAGAGGACCAATTTGCAATATTACATACAAATACATTCAGTCACTCTGTATGTACATTACATCCCTCTAGCATTTTTAATTACAATTCTCAAAATGCTGGCACCTCCTACTTTAACGCTTGAAATATTAATTCTTGAACCCCAAACATTAAAATAACTGTAAAGTAGTAATATCATATTTTGTTTTCCTTCTACAGTATATTAAATGTGGTTTGCTCTAGCAATGTTCTGCAGTACAGTACTGTTCTAAGCGCAAGCATTTTTGCTGCTGTATTTCATGTATACCAAACTATAACAATACTCGATTAAAAGTTGCTGATCCACTACCACTTGCTTAGTTGCACTTCAAAAGACTTTATATAATGCCTTTTCTCTAACTGGCAAAAGGGCCTATGCTTTGATAGTGAGAGACAGTGTGGTAAGGCAGTTTTTTGCTGTTTTATTAACAGCTAACCCTGATTACAGAGGAACCCAGGATTACCCCTTCTATGGCAGTTGTGTGTTCTTTATTTGGAAAGGTTCTGCCAACCCAGTCTCAATGTCAGTCAGCAGCAAAGATGGAAACGTGTGTATGTCTTATACAATCATTTCCAGCTAGGATGTTATTTAGAATTAACCAACATAAATACCCAGAATAACTGTCATAAAAAGCTGAACAATGACTAGGCTTTAAACAATCTACTTGATTACAAAGTACTGAATAACAAAAGCAAACAAAATAGCAACCATTGCAAATCCCACAAGAAGAAGAAAAGCAAACTGCTCATCACTTAATGTCTTCTTAATCTTTGCAAATTTAGCTGTCGAATCAGTACACTGGGGAACCAACTCTTGTTTTTGAGATGAGAATACTGTACTGGGACTATAAGGTCCATACAGTTCTTGTAATCCAGTAGAATCTTGATACTGGCGTCCAGCACAGACTCTGAACCGATATTCACAGTTTGTCTGAAAGTTTGTGAAACGGAATGAAGTCTCTGATCCTTTGTATACCTACATAATAAAGAGAGCAAACAAATTGCTCATCTATTTCACTTTCCCAGTATCTAGCAATAGACACAATATTCAGTGCAACCAGAGCAGGCCTGCAAGGGTCTGGGAAGCCCTCCCCACGCATCCAATTTGAGGGCTTCAGAAATCAAAGAATCTCTGCTTTTATTTCTAAACTGTTTCCTAGCAAACAGTCTTTAAAATGTGAGAAAGAACTAGGAGTGAAAACTTGCCACTGATGTTCCCCTGAAGATGACAAATTATTTGCTGTCCCTGCAAGCCTGGCCTCTGAAAAAACTACCACCATAGGTTTGTGCCGACAGTGCGCTAGGACCATCCTAAACGAAGACAGCACCTGTCCCAGAGTTTACAATTTACAATGAAGTGCTGGGGATAGGTAGGGGGATAAAACATAGTTATCCCTCTCCCACATAAACATCAA